TTGAGTCAGCAGAGGCTTAACAAGCATCCAGGCACGAACTAACTGGTTTCAGGCAAGAGTAGTGCATGTTGATCCATGGTGGCTGGCTGAATTAAGAGATGATCCACTTTCCCTCTCTTTCAGGAGTTTTCTTACACTTAGAAGCCAGCTTACGGCAAAGATGGGAGTGGTACTACAGCATCCCAGCCAAAATGGGATTCAAGCATCCCAGCCTTGAATTTCTCTGAGAGAGGAATGAATAAGCAAAGATAGTGGTGAGGGGCCTGCACATATTGCCAAGATGCTGGAGAAAGAGATGAGGTTTGTTACAACTAAAACAAAAGTAAAAATCTAGGGTACACCAAAGTCCTTTTCTATTCTGGTGATTTGGAACAAATAGACTCCTGGTAGTTGTTGGTAAAATAGCATTTTGGTCACTAGTGTGTCTATGATGATCAGGGTTAAAATGTGGTTTGGGCTTGAACAACCTCTAGGACTTAGTAATATATTGATTTAATAAATGAATTACTGAAAATTTGTAAAAAAATGTAAATAGGCAAAGATGAGTAATTTGCTTTATACTTATCAAATCTATAAATTTTATGTTATAAAATTGGCAAACCTCAAGCTATTTTGTGTCATTTTCATATCCCATATGCATTTAGCAACTTATGTAAATCATATTTGCCACTCAAATAATCTAAAGAAATCTATCTCTGAATCTATCTTTGAAAGAAAATGAACCTGTTTCTGTTCCAATACCATATCTAAGGTCCTAGGAGTTTCCTTTTAAATCAAAAGATGTTTTTAGTAGTGAGTTGCTTTAAATGGTGAATATAAAAGCAATAGTCTTAGTATCCCACTGGTGTTAGAAAATTCTGAAATATTTTTCTCCACTATGTTGGCTCTGAATCTTAAACGTGTACATAAAAGGAATCATTTAGGGAACTCTATTTTCTTGACCTGAATTAGAATTTGCAGTTGGCAGAGCTATTTCCCCATCCTTCTAGATACCCCTAATTTGTGCATATCTAAGTGTTTCTCATACAAATTCACTGCCAGGTGTGGGAACATATACAATCACCTCCCATTTTACAAATGAGTATTCATTCAGGTCTGGCCAAATTCTCCATGGGGCATCTGGCTTCAAATGGAACTTTAAGTAGCTTGTTTTATTTCTTATTAAAGTATCAGGAAGCCATCTATTTAGGCTTTTTTCCTAGCCATTTAAGCCACCTATGAATTAAGATAGTGAGAAGAATTGAGTATTTCTCTTTAGACAAGATATACTGTTGTCAAGTGCAGGATAAAGCCAGGAGTTAGATTGTGCTTGGGATGCTGAATTCCCCTGGAGCACAAAGGGAGTGAGAGGACAGATGGGTGTGGGGTACACTCATGAAACATAGGGTTCCACAGTTCCTTCTCAGAGATTCGACTCCAAAGAGGCTAAGAAAGAAAAGACCTGAAGCGAGAGGTCACCCTGATAAGAACAAAGAAATCACTTCCAGGGCTTTCTCCCATTGTGCCTGTTACACTTATTGGTGTGAATAATGTTGTTTTGTTTTCAAAAAGACAGTCATGAGCAAAAGAAAGAAGAGCGAGTGATAAGGCTCGTTCAGGAAATTTGAGAATGACACATTTGTGATAATATATGTTAATTTAGTTGAATAGATGTGAATATTTTCATAAAGAACAAAGAAAAAGAGGGACTATAGCTTAGATTCGCACATGTGGGTTTTTATATAGGCATTGCCCATGTTCAAAATGTGCAAATCTCTTGGAAAGTTTTTTTTAAATACATTTTGTTGTGGTGGCTTATTTATTTAAGATTACCATATTTTTCTTGCTTTGGAGATAAAAACTCTTGTGGAGCCAGACTTCAAATAAATGATGTTCTGAGCACATCAAAACAAAGGAAGTGTTTCTGAAACCAAATGAAAGCATTTTTTGAATGACTCCCTCATCCATTCACGTCTCCTTTCAGCTCAGCGGCTCTGGCTCAGATAAAGTCTCAGACACCTAGCAGCCTATTCAAAAGTATCAGATTCAACTGGAGGTGAAGAAAATGGGGTATCTGCAATATTCATGAGTTGGGAACTTCCCAAGTTTGACTATTGTCTGAATGACTTTACAACTGCTTGGGGTGTGCATTACATAACAGATATTCACAGGCACCCAGCTCCTATCAAGCCAGACCTTGTAAGTGAGTCCAGAGACCCCTCCTGACACTCCCCCCACAGCCCCATTCTTTCCTAATCCAGGTCCCAAGAAAAATAGTGCCCAGTCTTTGAAGTGTGCTATCCAACTCCTTAGTTTACCAGCCCGAACTAAAGGCCTTGATAACACTTCTTCAAGTTCATGATTTGTTTTCATAGCATTTGGGGTAGTTTTTTCTCTAACTGGAACAAAGCACAGTTTAGTACACCCAAAATTTCTGAAAAAAAGAGACAGATTCATTTATTGGGACGGGTGAGACCTAAGCAAGAAAGCATTAAGTAGTCTGAGAAACACTGGTTATATTCTGCCCAATGAGAGTGAGATTTCTGAGGTCTTGCTGTTGAATAAGGAGTTTCAAAATGAAAGAAATAGAAACATTTACTATTTCCTGCTTAGTGTAATTGCCATCTGCCTGATACCCAACCTGTAACTGAAGGCAAACCTTAGTAACTAGAATCTTATATCTGCAGATCATGGGGTGGTGGAAAGAGCCATGGATTTGAGTCCCAGATCTGTTTACAAACTGTGACTTGGGGCCACCATACCACTGCCCCCAGTGCAGAGAAGCAGAACTGCTACAGTGCAGAGGAGGTGAACCTTCTGGGTCGCCATACCATCGTGCCCAGCCTAGAGGAGCAGAGCTGCTCCCAGCACTGAGGAGGTGAACATTCTGGGCTGCAGTACCACCACCCCCAGCACTGAGGAAGTGAGCCTGTGGGCACCAGCAGCACACATCCCTCCCCGCCCCCTTGAAATGAGACAATGTGTAAACAAGTCTCAAAAATCAGACTTCCAGATCACCTAAAGCAACCACAAAGGAAACAAGATGAAACAACCAGATACTTAACCACTTGGACTCCCTGAACTGGCAACAAAAGAAGATCTGGAATAAATAAAATCAGAAATAATTTATCAGATAACAGCACAAATTGTGCCCATAGTGCAAGACATGATTAATAAATCTAGACAGGACACAGATAAAAAAAATAGAGGAGCTGAGGAACATGATGGAATTCCAACACAGGAAACAAATGGAATCCATACAACAGATGCAAACAGATTTCCAAGAGAGTAAAAACTCCATTGAAAGTTTACACAGCAGAATAAGCCAATGTGAGGACAGAATTTCAGATATAGAAGATAAGATTGCAATTAGTGACCAGGAAAAGAAAAATTGCTTTAAAATAGTAAGGGACCACAAGAAATCAATCCAGCAACTGCTAGACAATGCAAAGAAGAATAACATAAGACTGATCAGAGTCAATGAAGAAACAGGTGAGAGTACAGACAACATAAAAAAAACCTGTTCACAGAAGCGATGGCAGAAAATTTCCCAAGGAGGGGGAAAGAACTTGACATACAGATAAGTGAGGCATATAGGACTCCAAACAGCCTTGATCAAAAAAAATCTACACATACACATATAATAGTAAAGACTCCAGAAATCCAACAGAAGAACAAAGTTCTACAAGCAGTTAGAGAAAAGAAACAAATCACATACAAAGGAAAGCCTATCAGAATCCCAGCAGACTTCTCAACACAAACCATCAAGACAAGAAGAGCTTGGAGTGATGTATTCCAGCCCTAAAGGAAAGCAGCCTCCAACCCAGATTGATGTACCCTGCAAAACCATCTCTCAAAATTGATGGAGAAATAAGATACTTTTTTTTTTGTAAGAATCAAAGTCCTTTTATTAAAAATATTAATTGTACATATTAACAGGGTTCAGGGTGGCGTTTCAATGCACATATACAGTACTCACTGATCACATCCACATTCTTACATTCTTTTCATCTAAGTACCCCTTTTCAACCTCTAACAACCACTCCCCTACATTCAGGTTCACTTTTCTTAAACTTCCATATGAGAGAGAATTTAGTAGTACTTGTCTTTCTGCATCTGCCTTATTTCATGTAACATAACCCTCAGCTCCATCCTTGGTGCAAACAACAGGATCTCCTTCTTTATACCTGAATAGTGTATGTATTCCTCACTTTTTCCATTCATCAGCTGATGAGCACCTAGGTTGATTTAGCATCTTAGCTATTGTGGGTAGTGCTGGATAAACATGGGCACACAGGTGTCTCTTTGGTGTGCTGACTGCATCTCCTTTGGACATATTCCCAGAAGTGGAATACCCGGATGACATAGTAGACCTATTTTTAGTTTTATGAGGAACCTTCACACTGCTCTCCACAATGCCTGCACTAATTCACATTCCCATCAGTGCTGTATGAGAGTTTCCCATTCTCCACGTCGTTGTTAGCATTTTTTAAAAGAAATAACTATAACCATTTTAACTAGGGTGAGAGAGTATCTCACTGTAGTTTTGTTTGGCCTTTTCCTGATACTAATGAGAAAAGGATGGAACTGAATATTACATTGTTTTATTAAAAATATTAGATTGGTTTGTGAAAGGATATAGGGATTATATGTATCTCTCTATGTGTACGCATATGGTGATTCTTAAGACCACTTTGTGCAGTTTAAGAATTATAAATGTTATGAACTTATAAAAATCTCATTGACGTGTTAGCATCAGCCAGGCTCTCAACTGGGTAAAAGAGCCAGGTAATACCTGTGTTCCAGGAGGAACAAATAAAAAATAGACTATGGTCTATCTCTGATAGGTTGGGGAGGTGGAGGCTGAAGGAAGGGTCCAGAAGGCCCAGGAGGCTGCAGCACCCACTGTCCTGGAGCCTGGGGGAGGGGCGGGGCTGTGGCTGAGCCTCTTCTCCTTGCCCCTCCCCCACCCCAGAAGCCCTTTGTGATGAGGAGAACACAGTTCTGTGATGCAGGCCTGGGCCTTCCTCTTTAACCCCAGAGAGAACTCTCAGGGCTCAGTTGCCTGAGAGCAACACTGCGATTCAGATGATGGAGAATCTTCTCATTCCTCTGAAAAGCCTTATTGCCACATGGCTGAGCCCCAGCCCCAATACCTTTGCGATGGATATGATCCTCGCCTTTGTGGGTGGAGTGGGGCTCTTCCTTTTGTTACTGCCCTGGCTCCAGGATGAACCAACCTTACGGCCATCATCATTGAGGAAAACTAGAAAGATCAGAAAGGTAAGAAACTCTCAGCCCAGAGCCAGCAGAGAATGATTCTCTCTCCTTTTACCACAGTTTCCACTTTTCTGAGTCAAGTAGACAGACTGGTGAGAGGGAAAACTCAGAAAAGAACACAATATCCTTCCTGTGGGACAGGCAGGGCAGGACAGGGGAAGTGGGCACCAGGACATCTGTCTGACAATCTCAGATCTCTGGGTGGTTTGCTGCCCAGAGTAAAGGAGAACACAGTAACTCAGTGGATGAGGACTGGATTCCTGAGAGTTGGGGATCTTTGGGGAGGGCCAGGCCCTGAGCACTGGTTCATTGTCCCAGTCTCATGGCAGGTGTCTTAGGGCCCAGCCTTTGCTCTGTGCTGGGCTGAATCAAGGGCTGTGCTGAGGGCCTGAGTCCAGCCCCATCCTGGGCTACAGCTGCCTCTGGTCTCTAGCAGGTGAGGTGCACCTGTAGAAGTGAGTTCTTATAGGGGATCTCATGTTAGAAAGTTGCTGTGTTTCTACGAGAAGGACAGAAAAAAAATTGTAATTTTAAAAATGAGTAAAAGGAAAGAAAAAACACAGCTTCCTTAATTCATTGTTGAGTAGCATAATATTCATGAATACTGAATGTCTGCAGCTTGACTGAGAGAGGAGAATCCAACCTGGGCCTCTCACTATTTTCCTTCTTTCTCAGCATCCAGTGCTGATGAGGTGGAAGAGCAGGAGGAAGAGGACAGCTGCTCTTCTAGGTAAGGCTCTGCCTTTCAGTCCTGCAGTCCCAGAATTAACGTGACCTTGCTTATCCCTCAGGGGCCAACACCAGGGCTCCAAGGTTGTCAGCTGCAGAGCCCTGAGAGGGGGGCTCCAGGAATGGGAGTCAGCAGGGGGGATGCTTCTCAGGCTCCCTGCTCAGAATGAAGCTGAGCTGGGATGAAGAAGGGTTTTGTCCAGTAGGGGGCAGTGCAGGCAGCAGAGGAGCAGTACAGCCTGGATTTGGAAATGGGACCTCCAAGTGCAAACTGAGGCCCAGCTGTTAAAATTGGCAGAGGCTGATTCCTTTGTGAGGTGACCCCATCCATCCAGCACAGCATAGTTGTGGGGACCGTGAATGTTGAAGGATGTGGAAGCATTTTGTACTGATAAAGCACTGTCCATCTGTGTACTATGTAACCACTGTCAGCCAGGGCCAGAGGGCATTGGACACCAATGCTTGGGCTCTGCAGTCAGACCTCCAATGGTGTCCTCTAAGGGGACATTCTCTTCAGCCTCCTGTAAAATCCTAATCCCTTCCTTACCCTTCATCCTTTATAACTCAGTTTCCCACTTCCCACCTTTTGCAGACTACCAGATTTACTGGAAGTTGGATAAAAAGCTAATTTCCCTTATGAAAAGGTAAAGAACTTTGTCCTTTCTTCTTTCCTTCTAAAACCTGTGATGTCACAAAGCAGAATTGGTCTAACCCGGTGGTGGTGGGGGGGAGATCCTGGGAGTGGGGGATGTTAAGACCCTGGGGTGAGGAGTAGCAGGAAAACTATAGACTTGGGGTATGGGGTGGTGGAGGGGCCAGGGCCCAACTGAGCTCACCCCAGCCCCCAGCTACAGTTACAACTCCTATTTATTACAGATTGCAGAGGCTGTTACTTGGCCTAGGACGCTCTCAACAGCCTGTATACCTACACCACTCTGCTGATGTGTGTACAAGAACATCTGTCACAGCCCCTCAGCTAGATGAGGAGAAAGCAGACCCTGCTGCTCTAGCCCTGGTAGAGGCGGCCCCCTCTGCTCTCATTCTGCACCTTCCTCCTCCGGCCTCCTTTCCATCACTAGGCCCATCAGCAACCTCCTCCGATTTTGTGTGTTCACCCACATCCCTTACCAACTCTCAAACCTTGGAGCCCCTGCTTCCCCTGGGAAGACATTCACCCTGGCCACTTGCACGTTCCCTTTCCCTACCATGTCCCCCAGATCCTGCCACAACCTCACAACCCTGGTGGGACCCAAAAGAGAAGCAGCTCGGTCCTCAGCAATTCTCAGGTCCCCAGATCCTGGGGGTCTACTTTTGGCAGAAATGGACCCAGCTTTTCTGGGGTCTGCCCTCTCTGCAGAGTGAATCCGTAACAGCTGCTGCCAGGATCTCTCAGAGCCCTCCCACTCCACACCTTCCCACCTTCTTATTCAACAGAACCTCACCTGTTTGCCCAGTTCACACGCAGGATCCAATGTCCCTGCTGCTTTCCCTGGGCCAGGATCCATCCTGTCTGGAGCCCCGATCCCCACCCCAATCCCAGCCCCCAGCTCTGGGTCAGGCCCAGACTTGGACCCACCCCCAATCCTCCTCCCCCGTCCTGTTAGCACCTTCTCTGCCCCTCAGTAGGGGCTGTGGAGCATCCCGTTCTACATCCCATAGCCCACAGTCACTCATCGCAGATGAAATGCAACCCTCAGGAAGGCCCTTGTCGAAGAAACACCTAGAACACGGGCGGACTGTTCCCTCAGCAGTCCGAAGCCCTCAGGAGGGTTACTGTCCCTCCACTCCCAACCTTTGCCAAGGCAAGGGTGCTGCTACCACTCTTCATGAGAGTTTTTCAATCAGCTCTGAGGACTGGGAAAAACTAGAGCAACACATTCGAAAGTGGCACATTCATCACCAGTGGAACCCGCCCTGCAGGATCCAGGAGTCTCCAGAACTCACACAGCCTCAGTGTGACTTAGCTCATTCACCTCAGGTAAAGGACAAACCTGGGCTCTCACAGTCATCCGTGTCTACAGATGAATGCAGCAAGGATGTGCAGAAGATGAAGTTCCAGCTAGTGAGGGACTCAGGCAAGAATTTGGGGCATATTCTATGCAAGGTACCCAAAGATCTCTCCAGAGACCTAGGAAGCTCCCCAGTGAAGGTTCTGGAGACAATCTCTGAGGAGTCAGAGAGAAACCTGATGTGGCCCATGGACAGTGACACAAGAAATGACTCATCCGGAAGCAGAGATAAGACATCTCTAGTAGGCATGCTGAAAGCACATTTGGATGTGAAGATGGGGCAGATCCACGAGGGGCTGATCCCTCTGAGAGTGCGCCGGTCCTGGCTCGCTGTCAATGCTGTCATTTCCACATCTCACACCCACAAGGAAACCAGAAATCCAGCATCCTCCAGGGGTCAGGAAACCTGTGTGAGCACCATCCAGTTTTTCTCCAATCCACACACTCAGCAGGACCTGGAGATGCAGAATACAAGGTGTAGGGTGAGGCACAGGTGGGGCCTCCCCCTCAAGCTCCTCAAGGTGGTAAATGCCTTTAAGTCTACGAAGGCTGCGCCCTCACCCTTTCCACAGTGTGCCCATCCCTCCTCCTCTGGGCGTGTGTCCTGGGCCGACTTGACAGCGGAGGATGAGGCCAAATTCCTGGGAAAACCACCTCAGGGATGTCCGGGAGAGGAGGCGACAGTCAGGCAGTCTGTCTGCGCACTGGGCAGTCTCCTTGTCTCCTCTATTTCATGGAAGGAGACTGAGAGGGCCCTAGCAGGGATCCCTCTTGGTGATGGCTTGGGGTCCTCAGAGGCCCCCCTCACTAGACAGGACAGTGCGAGGCCTTCACAGCAACTCACATCCAGCCTCATGGACAGAACCCATGAGAGCAGGACCACCCAAAGGGTTGGCAGAGGCAGCCCAGAAGTCCCCTTGCTTCCTGGAATATGTGTCACCCAAGAGGCAGGAGAGCCAAGCCTTTGGGCAGACACTGGATACAAGTTTCAGCACGGAGTGGAGGTCACATCAGTGAGCCATTGTCAAGCCTGTGTCTCAGGTGCCAACCTTCCAGACTGTCCCACTGACTCTCTCTGTGCTTCACACTGTTTGCCGTCTCCAGAGTCCCAGTGCCATCACAACAGCATGCCTCTAGGGGACATGCTAGCTTCACAGCTGTTAGGTGACCTAATGGCAGACAGAGGGAGCAACCTGGGGCAGCAGAAGCCCCAGATCCCGAAACATCAGCACTCACTGACGAGCCAAAGCAAGACGTCTGTCCCTGCTGACAAGCATGAGGTTGGGAGGAGCCCCAGCTCAGGAAAACATGAAGACAAGTTGGGAGACTTGGGGACCTGTGAGCCCAGCCAGGATGGGGGAATAGAAGACACCTCAGAGAGTAAATGCCTTCAGCTCCCACAAAAGAAACCAGTCCCCTCAGAAGGCTATAGAAGCACGAACAAATTACCATGGTGCATTTTACCTAAGAAAGAAATTAAAGGGCAGGAAGACACCCAGAAAAATGGCAAGCCTGCACCCGCCAAGGCCCAGAGTCAGAGACCAGCCAAAAACAGACCTCGCGTGGACCACAACACTGATGAGGCTGAGCAGCTCAAGACAGCAGTTGCACAGAGGCTAGAAGCCAAAATGATGCTTCAGCATGAACTTTGTGCCTTGAAGTTCAATCAGCACAAAGAGGAAGAAGGTCACACCCCAGTCTCCCAGGTTTCCTGCTCCTCAGAGCACGGGAGAAAGCCAAGACATGCAGCCACCCCCAAGTGCCACAGCTGTCCTACCAGGGAGAGGCACCTCTGTGGCCAAGAGTCCTTGAAAACTAGACAGCTCAACAGTGAGCAGCAGGGCCAGGGGGATGCCCACCCCTCCTTCCCCATCAAGGCTGTGTCCCCAGACAGCCCCTCCCAGTGTGGCCCAACAGTGTCCAGGGCACCAGGCCAACGACATTACTGTCCAAGGCATGGTTTTCAGAGAGGTGTCTTGACTGGACAACAGGGAAATTTCTCTCCAGGCTGTCTTAGTAAGAAAACATATGTCCAAGAAAAAAATAATCTATATAGAGGAAAATGATTTTTCTCATGTTATGCATCCAGGATATTTACTGTAATCCAAAACATTGATGTTTCCTCTAAGAGAAATGGCTTCTGTCTGCTCTGTGCTTGGTGTGGGCTCTGGTGTCTAGAAGGGAGCAGTGTGGAGGTGACAGGGGGTTGGGTATAAGCCCACCTTCATCCTTATTTCCTTCATTGATCCTTGCTTCCGTCATTACAGGAACAAAAACTCTAAAAACAAGCTGGGGAAAACCAGTAACAATCCTCCAACCCCAGGATCTGGTTCAACCCATCTTTCCACTGCTCCCTGCTCCCCAACCTTATGGCAGCAGTAGGACCAGGGACACAGAGACATTTTAAGCTGAAAATTCCCCCACAGGTTCCACAAGGGTCAGAGCCACCTAGCTCTGCTGGTCCCAAAATAGGTGGCAGTTTGCAGGTGAGGACGCTGGGCCCTGAGTTCAGAAGTGGGAGAAATCATGCCCTTGATCTCCCGGTGGGGGACAGATGATGTCCACCCTTGGGAAGCCCCTCCTCTCCCTGGCAAAGGCCTGGATGGAGAGGGCCCTTCTGGGTTCAGCTGAGATGGAAAGTTCAGAGTCCCCATCCCAGGGCCTTGGCCCTCCTCACACTAGAGCAGCAGTGAGGACAGAAAATCCAGCTGGGGGTGAGGTGGGGGGCTGGGGGGGTGGTGGCTGGTAGTGGTCAGGGGGCCCTCCTCATGGGTGAACAAATGGTCCTGCTCACAGCTCATTTATCCTGGTGCATCTTGCAACTCCGGTTAGTGGTTCTGGGTGGAGGCACCAGGGCTGTGCCAGTATAGTAACTCATGGACAGGCACTGGAAACAGGGAGATGTGGAATGAGAATTGAAAATGCTGGAGCCAGGCAGGAAGCAGAGGGGCACAAGGATGGTGAAGGGGATGGGGCACTCCCAAGGTTCCACTGTCATCCACCAGCAGACAGGAGGTGACATTAGGGGCCAAGTGGCTCACCCTGGCCCTGCCACAGGGCCCTACCTGCTCCAGATCCCACACCCAGAGAAGCCACCTTCAGCTCTCACACAGAGGGCCAGATTTGAGAGGGAGCAGAGCATGTTAGAAAAGATCAATTTCTTATCAATACATTGGGTAACTTGTATATGCTCTCCTCTTGCAGAAAGGATAAACTGACAATGGTGGAGAAGATAGGACAAGGGAACCTGAGATGTGACTCAAAGTCTGGTGACCCGTACATGTGTATGCAGCCCCAAGGCTGTCCCTAGAGGAGAGGAGGGACTCAGAAGGGTCCAGAGCCTGCCCTGGGGTCACACAGCAAGTCTTGCCTGGCTCCCAGCCCTTGCTTAGCTGGGAGCCCACAGGGGAAGAGGCGGTCACACAGGGTTTGTGCCACAAGGAGGCTGGAAGTGACCTGTCCAAATCCCTGGGGGCCGGGCCAGTCCAGGAGGAGAGCACTCAGTTTCTAGCATATGTTTCTTTTCCAGTGGGCCCTGGTCCTCATGGAAAAGCAGAGGGGCTCAAGTGGCAGGGAGAGGAGCAGCCCCTTCTCCAGAAAGCATTTCCGGTGGTGTGTGGCCCACTGGGCAGCCACAGGCACAGCCCGGGGGCCTCAATCCTGGGGCACAGCATCCTACACCAAGTGAAGATTATCCAGACAAGGGGAACAGGGACAGAGACCCTCCCCCGGAGAGTCCTCTTGGTCAGCACAGAGACCTCCCAGTCAGTCAGCACACAGAGACCCCACTCCCCAGAGACCCCACAGATTCTTCAGGTTGTTCTCAATCATTGCAGAAACCTCACAGAGAACCCCCAGACTCCTCCCACAGACATGTTGCAGAGCCCTCCCACAGACACCATGGTTACACTTTCCACAGAGACCTAACTCAGCCCTTGGTAGAGACTCCCACAGAGCTTGAGCAGAGACATCACATTGCTTAATAGAGCTCAAAAGCAGGAACCTCTGTCAGAGACCTCACGGGACACAGCCTTCCCACTGCCCCACGAGCCCACACCTTCCACAGAGCCTGCACACGGACTTCTCACAGGGATCTGTGCTGCCCCACAGGCCATCACACAGAAACCCAGTGCAGAGCTTTCACAAGGGGCTTCCCTCAGAGACCTGACAGAGATGGCTCCCACACAGACACCGCAACAGAGCCCATACAGAGCTCTCCCACCCCACAGAGTCCTCCTGTGGAGACCTCACACAGAAGCTCCCAGGAGACTCCACAGAGATCACAAGGAAACTCTGTAGTCCCCACAGAGACCTCACCTGGGGTTGTCTCCAGAAATAGGGCACAGAGACCTTACACAGACCCCTCACATATCCTTTTTAGAACCCTGAGCAGCTACTCTTTGACAGGTCCTTCCCAGGGGAGGTGGAACCACTGAGCAAACTGGCAGCATAGGTGGGATCCCCATGGGTTTTGCCCTTGAGAACCTCAAGACACCCAGGCATTGTCAGCATCACACTACTGCAGACAGCTAAATTAGAACATATTATGAGACAGTTGGTGATATATGTGCACCCATGTTCATAGCAGCACAATTTATAGTAGCCAAAACTTGGAAGCAGCCCAGTTGCCCATCAACTGGAGACTGGATAAAGAAAATGTGGGTTTTTAACAAAATGGAGTACTACTCAGCCATAAAAAATGAGAAACTAGAAACATTTACAGCTAAATGGATGCACACTGAGGCGATACTCTTAAGTGAAATAAATAGGACACACATGCGTAAATACTGAATAGTTTCTCTAGTGTGAGAAACTGAAAGTGTAAATAAGGACTAAAAGGTATAATAGATAATGTGAAATAGGAAGAAAAGGGGCAAAGGGGAAGGGGAAGTTGGAGGGGTAAGGGAAAGGAAAGTAGGAAATGGAATCAATATGAGAAAATGAAAAAAATGGAAACAAAGTCTCTGCAAATAGGAATGAACGGGTTGGAGGGAGGGCAGGGGAAGGGTGAAAAAATAAGAACCAAGAGAGATCATGTAAAGGTGCAAATTTCCAATGATGAATGTAACTGTAATGTGTACCTAAAATGTACCAATAAAATTAAGAAAAAATAAAAAGACAGTTGGGCAGGGCTGGGCCCTCAGCATAGAAAACAACTGAGGCACATTCACTAAAGGTTAACATTAAAAAGAGAGAAACTACTACCCCCACATACTTCCCAAAGAGATGAAGAGCAGGGATTGATATTCTAAATAGACATCAATCACCTTAATTGGGGACCAAAACATCCCTAGTTAGTCCATTCCTTCCAGATAATCCACGTACTCTTACCAGGTGAGTAGCTTCCCCCTCATCCTCAGTTAATCAATATTACCTGGGTGACTGTACTTGTAATCTTATTGGTTGATCATGGTTTCATCCCACCTCATTCCTACCTTGTGATTTTCCATTGGATCTTACAATTTTGTCCCACTTTGTACCCACCTCACCTCGTGGCTTTGCCCCATAAAGAACCTTTGAGAAGTGGAGTGGGTGGGCAACTCACTTTCCAGTCCCCCTTCTATCTCTTAAACAAAAGCTATCTTTCTCTCAATAAGTTTTTCCTACTCTTAACCTCCATTGTTCCTAGAATTCATTCTTTGATTTTAGAGAACATGAACTCAAATTTTGGATATCCAGCAGGTAGACAGTTATAATATTTCCCTTATTTGGATTACTTGGTCCTCTATATCAACACTAGATGGGATTCTCTGCCAGGGGAGATGCTCACAATGTGTTTTACATTTTCTAATTCCTTTGCCTCGGAATAAAAGAATTATAGGTTCTATGTGTAGACCTCCAAAACCCTTTCTTTCACAGGTTTTCATGAGCTACAACTCTGACTCACCATGAGAGAACCATACAGCAGGATAACTGCTTGTAGCATGAGTGCAGTAAATCTTCTAAGTGTTTTCTAGAGCCTGGCTTTGGTGAGCCAGCATACTAGGCATAGGGTCAGTAACGCAGTAACTTTACTCTCGGGACAGTTACAATGCACTGCCAGAAACAGGCATGCAGACTTATACCATAATTCTAGCACTCTAGAAGGTGAGGCAGGAGAATCACAAATTGGAGTCCAGCCAGGGCAATATATGAACTTAGTGAGACTCTGTCTCAAAATAAAAAATAAAAAGGCATGAGAATGTATCTTAGAAGGTCCTGGGTTCAATTCCCAGTGCTACACACAAAAAAGAGGAAAAAACCCAAATACCATGCTGCTAGGAAGCTCAAAAAAGGGAAGACATAAGGTTTCCCCTCAGAGAAGCCAGGGAATGCTCTATCTTACAGCTCTGTAGATCAGACACCTTACAGAGCTCTTCTGGGCTAAAATCCATGAGTCAATCAAACCATGTTCCTTTTTTTTGGAGACTTTAGGGATGAATCTCCATCTTTACATTTTCTGCCCGCTCATGGCCACTTCTATCTTCAAAATAATCACACCACTTTTCCTTCTGTTTTTTCACATCTTCTCTTCCACTTTTTTTTTTTTTTGATAGTATCTTGCTATTTTGCCCAGGCTGGTTTTAAATTTTTGTGATTAAACAGTGTGCCCACCAGGATAATTCAATATAATCCTATTTTAAAGTCAGCCAATCAGCAACCTATCTGCAACCTTAATCTTCCTTTCCCATTTAAGGCAACATATTCACAGATTCTGGGGATCAGGACTTGGGCAACTTGGATGAGTCACTCTTCTGCCTCAGAGCATGTTTTGAGTTGGTGTGAAGATGACTGACAGTGCTTTGGTAGGTGCTCCAGGATAGGCAGGGTGCTATAAATGCAAAATTGGGGGCACTGGGAGCTGTGGCACGTCAACCTAGAAGCCTCCTCTGTGCTGGGAGTGGTGGTAGGTTGGCCCAGAAGCCTCCTACTCTGAACTGGGAGCTGGAGCACATCCACCGGAAACCTCCTCCTCCACACCAGGAGCCATAGCTCAGCAGAGAGACCTTGTCCAGCATGGACAAGGCCTGCAAGCAAAGTACAGGGGAGCAGCTCCTGATACATTTGGCCTGTTAATATCAGCACCACTGTCTAGCAAGCATTG